CACACACACACACACACACACACACACACACACACACGGTTCCTCATCTCATATTGTTTTCCATTCTCTTACTGAGATATAACTCAAGAATCTGGCTTGATGGAGTTTGAGGTCACCTCAGTAAACTCCCCTAAGCTGCAGCATTTTACCCTGACTCTTACCCTGTGATAAACATTCCTCTGAGTAACTAAGGTTTGTTTGCACAAAAAACTTTTTTTTTCTTACTAAATGCTCATAGTTAAAGCCAAGAGAGCAGCCCACTGAACATTAAATCCTCTTTAGATCTCAAAGGTCCTTTCATTACAGTCAAGGTTCTTTTTCACTATTCCCTCCACATGCCTTTGGCCTAATGCACAGAGCTCATTCACAAGTAAAGCAATGCAAAGTGCAGATTTGCAAGCAAATCAATTTAAGGATTATGTAAGACTTGCACAAAGAAAAAGACTTTCCACTGAGCCCTGATAGAAATCCTCCGCTTCTTTAAATGCCTTTTTCATGGTGTCCTGACACTTTTTCATTCATTGCTGCATCTCATAAGTTCCCACAACACCACGTATTGCTTCCAGACATTAGTTGTGTGCAAGACCATTTTAATGGTAGATATCATGTAAAGATATTTTGGAAAAAAGACAGTCGTTGAAATAAATTATCTGGTTTTATTGTAAAAAAAAAAAAAAGTGTAATGTTTTGATGGAACCAGAATTTTGTGTTACTTCACTTGATTATCCTCTGGCCTCTTATGATCACCTTCTGAAATGTGTAATCATCTTTCCCTCCAGCTGTACGTCTCGTCAGAAAGCCGTTTCAACACACTAGCGGAGCTGGTGCACCACCACTCCACAGTGGCAGATGGTCTCATCACCACGCTACACTACCCGGCACCAAAGCGCAACAAGCCAACCATCTACGGGGTTTCCCCCAACTATGATAAGTGGGAGATGGAGCGCACTGACATCACCATGAAGCACAAGCTGGGCGGGGGCCAGTACGGGGAGGTGTACGAGGGTGTGTGGAAGAAGTACAACCTCACTGTGGCCGTCAAGACCCTAAAGGTAAGAAGACTAAATAAGTGCATTTACTTATTTCATGTGAGAAAATATCATTATTACCACACAGCTAACTGCTCTTTCTCTCAAATATTTACCTTTACAAGAAAATGATGGATTTCTTTTTGACACAAACTTTTGTCAAACAGTAACTTAAGCCGTTTTCACACATGACCTCCGGGTAAATTCTGGAGAATCGGCTACAGAGTTTACCCAGAGTTTGCCTTTCACACATGCATAACGCAGTGGGAGGTTCTCTGCACAGTCACGTTCACAACAGCATCATATCCATTATTCAGGCGAGAGGTGGAGCAACCAGGTGCAGGAGGCACAGGCAGGAAGTGATGTCATAACCTTGTTGTGTAGATCAATGTGATCACGTTGACGCATGAACCTTCTCCGAAGAAAATACAGAGGATCTGCGGAGTCCAGTGCATTTCTGAAAGCAGCTATAGTGTCAGCTCTCTTTAATATGGCTGAATAACGCCACCATCTGGTGCTGTGTTGATGTAACTGCAGCTAGTCTGTGAATTTGCTCACTTTTTTGTCAACAATTCTTTTCAGGAGGATACGATGGAGGTGGAGGAGTTTCTTAAAGAGGCTGCTGTAATGAAAGAGATCAAACACCCCAACCTAGTGCAATTGTTAGGTATGTAAAATAAAAAATCACATTGCAGATGTGCTTATGAAGGCACATAAAGATATATATTGTTTTTAGAGATTTTCAGATTTATAGATAAAGGCAAACATACAAACCCAAGATATGTCATGAGTAACGATGACCTTGTTTCCTTGGCAGGTGTGTGTACACGGGAGCCGCCGTTTTACATCATCACAGAGTTCATGACCCACGGGAACCTCCTCGACTACCTGAGAGAGTGCAATAGAGAGGAGGTCAACGCTGTGGTGCTGCTTCACATGGCCACACAGATCTCCTCTGCCATGGAGTACCTGGAGAAAAAAAACTTTATCCACAGGTAAAGATCTTACAGTTCCCCTTCAGATTTAACCTGAGTGGTCAGAATTTGAGTCTTCAGTATTACTACAGATCTTCACTGAGATCTCAGTCAGAGGTTGTATACACATTCTTCTGTGCAGCTCCCCTCTCTCACTCTCCCATCTGTTCCTACAGGAGGACAGACTCGTATCACAGAGAAGTGGATGTTGTAACATTTCTAGTTTGTTCTGGCACGTCTGTCTAACAAGGTCCTTTAGAAGCATAGAGATGATTTATGTCTTTCACATTTGCCAAAGTGCATTTTAATTTTCAAACCTGACAAGACTCAGCTTGTGACACAGCTCCACACAAAACATCTGTAGAAATCCAAAACTTCAGTCAATGTTGTAACCAGAGACTGTTTTTTTTTAACTTTCTCTTCATCTTTGTTCTTCTCTTGTTTTCTTACTATTGGATCAGTGTTCAAAGGAACTCATGCTTTTTTTTTAATGATTTCATAAGCATTTTTTGTTTGTAGAGAAAAAAATCATGATTCCACTTTGACCCTTTGTTCATCTCTAATTCCTCTCGCCCCTGCAGGGACTTAGCTGCTCGTAACTGTCTGGTCGGGGAGAACCACCTGGTGAAGGTTGCAGACTTTGGTCTGAGCAGGTTAATGACAGGAGACACCTACACAGCTCACGCTGGAGCCAAGTTCCCCATCAAGTGGACCGCTCCCGAGAGTCTGGCCTACAACAAGTTCTCCATTAAGTCTGACGTCTGGGGTGAGTTTGATCTCGTTTAGGCAGCAGCATAATTTATTCCTAATGTTCCTGCCTGAATAGCTCGTATTCAACAAGTGGAAACAGTCATTGAGTCACTGAGATTATTTTCACACATTGAGTATTGTTTTACCAGCTGGTCACTGACGGAACAACATTTAAATCAAAAGAATCACTTTTCAAAAAAGCCATAAGAGTTATAGATCTTAATATTTTGAAAAAGGTAATCTATTAAATCTTGAGAATTCTTTTAATATCTCATGCTTTCCATGGGCTTGTCCCACCACCTTTTAATTCATTCATTGGAGGGTTAGAGTGACATTGGCACCTTGGAGAAAGTGTGCTGTCAGTAAAAAGGAATAAATATGGGAATCGCTTCTCACTTGCAGTCAGGGCGTATCTAACATATTCCACTTTCAAAACGAAGCTTAAACATGGGCTCAAGTCAAATGAGATCTCTGATCGCTTTTTGCTCAGCTTGTTTCATGATGTATTTGTCTTTTCTACATGTGTCTTGTATATCTGTTAGTTATTAGTTAGTTTCTATAGTACTGTTAAGGTTTAAGATTTACGTTACCTTCCCCAGGACAATGAATGTAAATAAGCATTCTTGCTGTAATCCAGCAACCTTGCATGTTGTATTTTATACAGGGGTCTATTAACATGCATTGTCCATACCAAATAAACTAATTAGTTAATAACAAAATGTCACATAATATTAGTATTGCTCGTATTCTTACCATAACTTTATGTTCAAGTCATTTAATTCTGGTTGTTTCTCTGTTTGTTTTTCTTACATCTCCAGCATTTGGTGTGCTGCTGTGGGAGATCGCCACCTACGGCATGTCTCCCTACCCCGGCATTGACCTGTCCCAGGTCTACGAGCTGCTGGAGAAAGACTATCGCATGGACCGACCTGAGGGCTGCCCTGAGAAGGTCTATGAGCTCATGAGGGCTTGTGAGTAGTAAAAGTAGTAGTGCAGCTATCCACACTATGCTTGGAGGGGCTTCTCTCTGCTGGAAGGACTTTTTATATTTTTATCTTTTTGTCCTTCTGTCAGGTTGGAGGTGGAACCCTTCAGAACGCCCCTCTTTTGCTGAAACTCACCAAGCTTTTGAAACCATGTTCCAGGAGTCCAGCATTTCTGATGGTCAGTGCTGCTTTCTTTACTGTCAAAAGAAAAGTTTCTTGTAGGTAATATTTTAAAGATACCTCCATCAGTGAACACACTCTGCTCTTCTGTCATTGTAAATGTGTAGAATCATCATGTGTGGTTAACTGTTGGATATGTGTATTTTAAGAGGTCGAAAAGGAGCTGGGCAAGAAAGGGAAGAAGGCGACATTAGGCTCCATCCAGCAGGCTCCAGAGCTGCCCACCAAGACCAGAACTCTCCGCAAGAACATGGACAACCGGGATGGAGACAGTCCAGGTGAGACTATTTGCTCAGTTCAATTTGTACAGATAATACCATGCTAAAGTTACATCTGTTGTCTTGTCGCTAATCACTAATGATTCCCTGGTTCTGTGTGATTTCTCAGACCCAACAGACCCAGAGGCAGCTGTGTCTTCACCCATGCTTCCCAGGAAAGAGCGGCCCCTCCTGGACAACAACCTGAATGAGGACGACCGCTTGCTACCCAAAGACAAGGACAAGACCCGCGGCAATGTTCTCCTCAGCCTCATCAAGAAAAAGAAAAAGAACGCACCAGCTCCGCCCAAACGCAGCTCCTCTTTCAGAGAGATGGACGTCCACCATGACAGGAGGGGCGTGACTCCAGATCTTCGAGATAGTGACAACTTAAACAATGGTGCATCTTTGGCCATAAATGACAACACGCATGGCCATGACTCCTCGAAGTTCCTGGGTACTAACAATAATGGGCCAGGGGGCATCACCAACGGGGCTCCTACCTACCCAGGACCATTATTCCCCAGGAAGAAAGGAGCTCCTGCTGTGCCTGGCCCAGGAGGCAAGGCAGCTACCACACCACCAAGTGAGGAGGAATCCATGTCCAACTCAAAGCGTTTTCTCTGGTCCTCTAGCATGCCCACTGGCTCGAATGGCAACGAGTGGCGGTCCGTCACCCTGCCACGAGACTTGGGCCAGCGCCACTTTGACTCAGGTACCTTCGGGGGCAAGCCAGCTCTGCCACGCAAGAGAACCAGTGAGCAGAAAGGGGATACTACCCCTCGGATGGGCACCCTGACGCCACCACCACGTCTGACCACCTCATCAGATGTTTCCTCTGCCTTCTTAGGCAAAGACAATGATCCCAGCCCTGGTTCCAGTCCTCAGGCTTTAACACCTAAGGCGGTCAGGAGACCAGGTATACCGGGGCTGGAGAATTCCAAAACCAGTGCTCTGCACGCCGAGCTCCTCAAGCCCAATGTGTTCCCTGCTATGGGTGCAGCTGGAGAAGAGTGCAGGGCCCGCAGAAACAAGCACCCTGGGGACTCCTCATCTGTCAGGGAAAGAGTAAAGATACAGAAACCCAAGCCAGCCCCGCCTCCACCACCCACCAATTCAAAAACGGGCAAGATCTCCCGAAGCACCACTCAAGATCTCCCTTCCCCCTCCTCCACCACTTCAGACTTCAAAGCTAAGGGTCTCCCCTCCGTCTCAGAGCCCCACCACACAACCACTGCCAGTGACCAAGCCCGCTCACCACTCAGTGAGGGCTCCAAGAAGCTGCCTCTGGGCTCCACCTCCAAACCTCAACCGTTGAAGACCTCCACCTCCTCCCCCTCAGTGTCCACCTCCCTCTCCAGCCAGAGTCTAGGAGGCTTCTCCTCCTCTCTCTCCTCTCCCGGCGATCAGAGCTCACCCACCGCTTTCATACCCCTAGTGAACACTCGACGCTCCCTCCGCAAAACTGCTCCCCGCCAGGCCTCTGAGCGCACCCCCAACTCAGCCGTGACGCGCGAAATGGTGCTGGAGGGCTCCGAGCTGCTCCGGGCTGCCATTTACCGCAACTCGGAGCAGACTGGCAGCCACAGCGCTGTGCTGGAGGCCGGCAAGAACCTGTCGAAATACTGCATGAGCTACGTCGACTCCATCCAACAGATGTGGAACAAGTTTGCCTTCCGCGAGGCCATCAACAAGCTTGAGAGCAGCCTGCGGGAGCTGCAAATCTGCCCAACTGCCACAGGGGGCGCCAATTCACAGCAGGACTTCAGCAAGCTGCTGTCCTCTGTCAAAGAAATAAGTGGCATCGTTCAGAGGTAGCGCCCTAAAAGCTTGGAACGTGACATAAAACTGATACTGTTTCTCACACTACCCCCTTTTTTCTGAGCATGTGCGTGAACATTGGTTCACGGCGAGCACACGTTGGAGAGCTGAGGGTAAAGCCTGCTGGAGAGCAGCAGCAGCAGAGTGTAGCTTCACTCTACAGTTCACTCTGAAACACTTAAGCCTGTGGTTACTGTGGATGGAATCAGACAGTTTGCAATATTGAAAAGCCTTAACTATGAATGAACAGTGTCTTTAGGCCTTAAATGAGGGGCCAGGAGGAGCTAGGGGCCAATTTTTGATCTACATGACTTTTCACCAATCATTTTTGAAATGATCATGTCTTATATATTCAAGTTGTTTTTTCTCCCCTTTATCAATGACACTAGTGGGGGGAAAAAGGCCTGTGATATTTCCATCACTGTTGGTGTGTTTGATTTTTTTTTTTCCATTGATGCTGATGACAATGAGCAAAAAACAAAACACTTAACCTCATTTTGTTCTTGGATGCTTTCTAACACAACTGATCTCATTTCCAATTTCGATTTCCACCTGTAAGAATTAGGGAGTTTCTGGAATCAGTGTTTACAACCTGATGCCTCTGTCCAACGCATCCCAACATTTTCCATCACTTTGTACCGTGTCATCGGTGATTGGTTGTGTGCCGAGTAGTGAAACACCAGTGTTTGTTCTGTATGAATGCTTTTTTTTGCAGTATTTGCAACCATGTGCCATAAAATAGAAATGGGAGCACGCAAATGAGGGAGAATGAGCTCCTGGCCTTCCCCTTGTTTGTTCCACTGCACACTTTAGAGCCTTTAACACTTCACAAGTGCAGAAATGTGGCTGAATTTGTGCCAAGTGGCCAGGACTAACTGTGTTGATGTGTTTATTGGATTTAAATGTTTGCCATACCAAAAAAACTGTCTCCAGTCAGTGCTGGAGAGGGACCAGGGTGATCCATAACTCTGTGGATCTGACTGTTTTATGTTTTCTCCATCTTTTTCTTTTTTAAATAGGTTTAATTCTTCTTTCTCTTCATGCCAGTCACAAGCCATCAGTAGCAGCTAGGCCTTGTTTCATTAGTTCAGAGGGATCATGGACTGAAAGTGTTTCTCCCTGAACACTGAAGGGCCTCTTTGCTTTGAGAGAATCGTTGTCTTTGGAGAGTTTACGTCACATGGTCTAAATGCTGTTTTAGAGGCTTTTCCACCCCTGCAAAAAATATGTATTATATATACGATGGGGGAAACACTGGACTGAATTGTTTATGGATCTATCACTTGCTGTCTTACAGAATAATGTGGAAGTGAGACGCTGACCATTATGGACTAAAAGAAGCCACAAAATTCCACTGTGTGATCATAACGTGCCTTCATTTCTCGTCTGCATCTCCTGGACATTTTCAGTATTTGTGCTGTAGTCGTCTCATCCCATGTGCCCTGTCTGACTGCGTCGCCTGAGGACACAAGTCAAACACAAGCTGCCTTGACTTCTTTTTGGTACTGTCAGTGTTGGCTTATGTTGTTTTTTTTAATTCCTCCCTTTTGACCAACCATACCACTACTCTTTGTGACTAAGCCTCCTCACCAATTTTTTAGAAACACTTTGCTTTCCTTTGTAAATTTTTTTATTTTTCCTGTTTGTTTCTCCCTCTAGCCTTGGTGCAATTTGTGTTGCAATAAAATACAAAGCAGTCATGCTACTTGAAATACATTACTGAGTCTTGATCCTGTATATCCATCCTACACTTTACCCCTTCAATTTTAATCGGAAACGTTGTCAGAGATTTAAAAAAAAGAAAGAAAACAGACTCACGTCAACAGGTTATGTATAATTTATTTTTCTGTCTAGAGTATTTTATCATTAAAATCAAAATGTCAACATTTTAAAATCATATACACGCAAGAACGCATTTAAATGTTAGCACAGCTCCTTAAAAATTTATACATATGTACGTTTTTTTTCTTTTACTTGTGGACAGACAAAAGCAGGAAGTGGTCACTCAGACTGCAAAAGAGGCAGGACACAGGAGAAAGGAAGACCCGGCCCACCGACTTCCCACAATATCAAACCGATCCCCACTCCCCAAAAAAGTTAAGACAGCGATGCGGGCCCCTCCAAATGTGGAGGAGCTATGATGATGGGGTGGAAAAAGAAAAAAAATTAACAGTGCCCCGTCCTCCCCTCCGTACAGAAATGAGAAGAATAAAGTTTGCAGACATAAATAACAGCTTGTACATCATCTCAATCCACTTCCTCTCCCCTCAACCAATCGGCAGGTTCAGTAGTGTGCAGACAGGGGTGGTTGGGGGGGTGGGTGTGTTTAGGTGTCTGTCCTTTACATACATTTATTAATAGAAACTATGTTACAGAATTTCCCAAGCATGAATTACAGGCAACCCACTAGCACGTCAACTGTACAGATCTCGGCAGAGTCAGCAAATAAATTTCTAAATCCCAAGTAGCGAGGTCATCACCAAGTAGTTAAGAAGCAATATATATATACAGCTGTCCAATCAGGGAATCACTATGATACAGAACAATTGTAGTAAAAAAACAAAAACAATTGGATTTTGACAAATTCATTGTATATTTTAGGGTGTGGAGACATGCTGCTTGGTGTTGTAGTACACAACTGTCAAAATGAACATATCAGCTCTTCAGATCAGCCACACATGAAATAAAGAAGTTGTTTCAGAACATCATGATACTCAACCATTGGAGATATTCTGACCACGTGAGCCGTCAGTGTAGACCGAAATGATTCCAAAAAAAAAAAAAAAGGACTTGACACGGGGATGAGTCCCGACAGCAGTGTGAAGAGCGAGTGCAGCGAAAAGTATTAAGATTCAAGAGTAATACACGTGAATTATAAGGCAACGAACAAAGACAATGCTGGTAAAGACAGATTCTGTTGATATGACCTGGGAGGAGTCTTGGGCTCAGGCGTTTGAGGGAATGGGTGAGCTGGTGCAAAGAAACAGATGTGAATGAATCTTTTCATCAAAAAAACTGAAAAGCCACGTTATTATTATTTTTTTTTTTTATGTTTTTGTCAAAGTGTCAAAAAGAAACAACCCATCCAACTTCTTAACACACCAACACTCACAAAAACACACAAACTGGAAAACATCCAATATTTCCTCCTATGATTTCTCCAAGGAGAGAGAGACTGAGGAATCACCCACAAATTCCCTGTGGGTGCATTTTAAATGTCTCCCCCTCTCTCTCCTGAGAACATCTGTGCTGCCACATCTGGCAAAAGGAACTTTGTGCCAAGCAGCAGAAACAGAATTAAAAGCCACAGGGCTGGATCTTGCTGGGAAAGCTTGCTCGGCTACAGTAAACCATGCAGGAGAGGCGCTAGGAGATTGGGAATATAATTTAGATTCTGATTCAAACTAAGCTAATGAGTGGTGGATGAAACTTGTAGCAGTGCTTACATTTCATATACAGCTATAAAACCAAACATAAAAAACAGTCTCGGTTTATCGTTATCGTATGAACATTACGTCTATCTAAAGTGTCAGTAACCCGTGTAATGTGTGGTGGTGTCTAGGATACTACGACGGGAGGGTGGGGTGGGACTGGACGCACTAGTGGTGCGAGAGGAGCGGAGGGGAGCGAAGGAGGCGCGTTATGGGATGAAAACACACTGACAGAGTTTAAAGAGGAGTGAGACGGCAACAGAGGAAAAGACAAGCATAGGGGAGGAGGAAGAAGAGGTGGAGGGGAGATGTCATCCACGCAGCCCAGCTCAGTCTGGCCCAAGTCAGTATCCGTCCCTTCACTCCGCAGCCCTGCTCTCATGCAGCTCCGGGTGCACTGAGGGGGGATGAACGTACAGAAGTGACGGAATGGATGAATGAGGCAAGCGGGTGGTGGTTTTTGAGAGAAGGGGCAGGCAGGACAGATGGAGACAGAGAAGAAAAGGGAAGATGGAGGGAGGGGGTTTTGCTTGGTCATTAGCAGCCGCAGCCTTCCCTCTGGGGCTGTGGTTCGCTGGTTAGCCGGCCGCCCTGGGGGGCCGAGGGCTTGTGCTGGACCCCCGACTCTGCGGCGTTCAGGTCCAGGCTGCCATCTTGGATGTTCTGGTAGATCTTCTTAGCAGCTTCCAGGAAAGCGTCCTCCACGTTTTCACCTCTGAACACAGATCATGAACACAAACATGTGAGAGGAGGCAAATGAAAGCAAGTGAGGACAGGGATGTTTCATGTTGTGATGTCACTGACATGCTGAAGTTGTGCAGACTTACGTTTTCGCACTAGCTTCGAGAAACAACAGACCTGTAGAACATAACAGAGACGATGACAGAGTCAGTTCCAAACTTGCATGCTTCAAATACCAAGTCCTCGTTTCCCGTCTCTTTTAATGAACAAATCTGCTCACTTCAACTTCACTCTAGTCAAATTGTCCTAGTTTCTGTCTCAGCAATATAAATAAAATCGGATGTTAATCTTCACTTTTGTCTGTTTAATATCAACCACAGGGGACTATTATTATAAACATTCATGAAAGAACAGAGGCTAAATCTCATTTTGATTCTAAATATTAGGACATGTTGGGATTCCTGGGAATGAGGATAGAGCTGTCCGAGAATTTGGAAGACGCTGCAGAAAACATTTAAGTGACGTATTATTAGTAACCTCCTGATTAGTCTTCCCTATGAGAGCTATTCTGTGTCTGACTCACCATTCTCCTCAGCAAATTGCTTTGCCTCCTCGTATGTGACGTCCCTCTGGGCCTCCAAATCTGCCTTGTTTCCTATGAGAATGATCACCTGAGAATACAGACGGATAAAAAGAAAGTCAGATATTGACAGTATGGCCTCTCAGGGAGAAATCTGCTTCCTAAACCTAAGAGATGAGAGTACGCTGTTATAACATTGACTTGTCTGTTTCAAAAAGGGCCCCCAAGCAACTGTGATGTAATTAGACCTGTAATGAACTGATGTAATGTAATGAGCCTCCTCTTTAGCCGACTGACAGACTCTTTTGTTTCCTTTCTTCAATCTAAATCAGTCTTATTCTTTTAACCTTTTTTTCAGAACTTCGGAACAACTCCAATGAATTATAATTTATCAGCATTGAGGGGAAGATTTAAGTCTGATACAGCAACAGGTTTCATGGGATGACACTAATCTGCTGCATAAAAAAAAGACAGAATACACAGAGCAAACAAAGAAGTCTTAATATAACAATTTCATTAAAACAAATATAGGTACTGCTGATTTGATACAAATGTTTTTTTGCCTCAGACTGTTGGCTGTTACTGGGTAAAATATATTTATAACTGATTGCTACACAACATCAAAGTCTTATATAACGTTTAATTCAATAGACAACAATTGTGCCGAAGGTAAGATCATTGTGTTTCCCATCTCAGATAAAAGACCTAGAAGGCTTTGTGTTTTACATAGATAAAGATGGAGTCCGAAACATTAGGAAAACCTTATTTTGGAATGGAAGTGACATGTTGCAGAAGCCCACTTCTCTGAAGGAGCAAGGAGCTCATGGAGAGTGGAGCAGTATGGTTGAAAACTAATCATATTGAGCCAGAAATCCAATTTAAGGAAAAGACAGATCTGTGGCGTCAAACACTCTCAGGGAAGAGGCAGCAAATAAAGAGACAGGGTGTGTTTGAAAGAAATAAGAGGGATGGAAACTACACAGTAAAGAGTATTCACAGAGAGCAGAGGGTATAAAGAATAATACATGTGTCCTTACAGTATTTGGGTTGGTGAGGTTTCTGGCATCAGTCAGCCAGCTGCTAAGATGGTTGTATGTGCTTCTCCTGCATAATATCAGACAGTGACAGAGGTTACTATGATGACAAGTTATCAGAAATAGAAACGAATAATTTTAAGGATACATTTGAAATCGATGTGTTTAGAGTTCAATAGAAAACCCAAGACCTTTAAACAATAATGTAACAGGATATTTATGTCATTTATTATAATGTAGGGTATAACAAGTAATAGAGGACATGGTCCAAAAGTAAAAACATGTTCTACTAAATGTAATTGGAAACACTGCACTTATTAAACTAGGCCACACAAAACTACAGGGAATGATACCAATACAAAGAGCAGTTTAATTACAGAATATGAATATGGAATTATCAGCCTTGAGTTTAAAGCGAGCATAAGACACAATGAACACTTGTGTAAATCTCTCCTTATTTCCACCAGACCTTTAGAAGCTGTGTGCAGCCAAACGAAACAGAAAAGGGAACAATTCATGTTCGTTTCTCCAGTTAAGTACTGTTTCTGGGACCCAAGGGGCCCTGACAGGAGTTGGGAGTGGTGTGGACACATTCCACATGTTGGACTGTGTTTATTTGGCAGACCACTGATACCATCTAACAGTTTGGACAAGAGGGTTGGACACAAGCTGTAAACCTGTCAGTGTTTGTTCAGGAGCGAGTCTGTGGGACTGGACTGCAGTTGTCAGCTGCTTTAGCTTTCATCCAACCTCTTACTTCAAATGCACAAGATGGTTATCACGTACTCCATTTGGTGTTGAGTCCCTGTGGTTGATGTGTATCTCTCTCACACACATGGACACAAAACAAGCATGCTAGCATACCTAGTGATGTCGTAGACCATGAGTGCTCCTGCAGCGCCGCGGTAGTAGGAGCGGGTGACGGCCCTGAAGCGCTCTTGTCCCGCTGTGTCCCAGATCTGCAGCTTGATCTTCTGGCCACTCACCTCGATGATTCTTGTACCAAACTCCACACCAATCGTATGGGGACAGTCTGCCATGACTGGCGAGAGGAAGTGAGATGACAGTGAATTCAGTTCTGTTCTGATTCATTTTTAACTGATGCTACATCCTCAAAATACTGCACACATTTCTGTAACCATGTTTTGTGATGTTATATTTTTACCTCTGCCAAGGAGGTTACGTTCTCACCCCTGTCCCTTTCTCTGTTTGTCTCTTGGCTGTATTACTCAAATACTATTCAACTGATTTCAATAAAATTATGTGGAGGGGTGGGGCATGACACAACCCGTTAACTTTTGGACTTTCACCGTCTTTGAGATGTACACGCTCTCACTGAATGCCCTTCTAGGTTGTTTTTTTTTTTACCTGGATTCACACTTAATAATAAATCATCATTAAGATGATGAAGACACCTAATTCAATAAGAAATCTGATACACATTTCTTATTGAATTTGCAAACCATAGTGTAATGTGTATACAGTCTCACACTCTCTTTCACACACAAACACACACCTCATCTCCATTGTAAGCAAGCAGCAGGTGCATCAATAATTAGTCATTATACTCCCAGTAAACTGAAAGCATCAACACTCAGAAAGCAGCAAATGTCTTTAAAACTGACACTTAAAAATCTTTTCTATGTCACCCGTGTGTGTGTGTGTGTGTGTGTGTGTGTGTGTGTGTGTGTGTGTGTGCGCGCGCGCGCAGGATGTGATCATGGATGACGAACACAGCATCTGGCCTGTTAATAGTGGCACTAAACAAAACCGAGCTGAATGGTAATGGGAAGCTGCAGCTGACTCACGAACAGAAGAGGAGTCTCACTGCTGAACGCACACTTGACTTGTATGCCACTGACTTCCGTTGGCATATAAAGAAATCTAAAGTGATTCAGGCGCACCAGTTGAACCTGGCAGCAGCAACCTTGCATACACTCAGGCGCATACACTCAGGCGCACACACACACAGATGAAAAGGAGTCAGAATCAGGGCAGCACTTACATTTTTTTTCTGTGAACTGGTGAAGCAAACATGACTTCCCTACCCCCATGTCCCCTGTGGAGAGACACAGAGAAACTCAGGTCAACCAAATAAATAACACAAGAATAATTGTCTATTCAAGCCCGCAGTGTTGCCCCCATGCATGATGTAGCAGCCCCTCTGTAACAGTCAGCGATAATATTTAAAATTTCATGACGAGTAGTGGCAGAAAAGAGCCCGACAGATATGGACTTTTAGGAGCCAATACCAAGATTATGAGGTAAAAAATTCTGATGATGAAATGTTGGTCGATGTATAAATTAAAAGAAATTGGCAATGATTCCAAAGAAGACTTTAACAAACCCTTATAACAATGAAATGTATTGAGGCTAGATATAAATATATATTAAAAACTATAAATAAAAATTGAAACATGAATCCAGACATTCTTTTTCATAAAAAACATAAATGCACATCTTTTTTGTATTGCATATTCTGCAAAATAAAAGATTTCATGCCAGAATGTATTCTGTCCTTCAGAGTTTATTGATTATGAATCTACTTATAACCATTTTGGCAGCAATGGTAAATTTATTTTTGAGCCTTAATCCTGCAAACGTGTGGGATGAGTCCATTTGCAGCTCAGCAAAATAAGCAAAATAATACTGCAACAACAAAAACAACTGAACATTTAAAGTGAGACAATTTTTGAATGAGACAATTCGATATTCTCACGCAACTATTCAAAAACATCAGTGTCGGCCACTGTTATAATGAAGGGAAAAGCAATATATAAACAGAAGGCTGAAGTAAAAAGCAACGTTCCCTCCAGGCTGCTCATTCACACCTTAACACACCCACTCAAACTCTGAGGATGATAAACAGCCCAGAGCTGAGGGTGTGTGTTTATGTACATGTCTGTAAATGTATGCACAAGCAGCAGTGTGTTCACTAAGAGCAGTTCAGACCCCGTACTCGTCAGCATAACCTGCGACAGAGACTGCACACAGGTCATCAATGGCGTTGATCACTTACCGATAATGATGTATTTGAAAATGTAGGAGTAGTTGTACGGTGCAGTGGCCATTGTGGCTCTGAAAGAGAGAAGAAAAGGGGGGGAGGGGTTAGGTATTTAAACAGTCAAAGACAATTTGCTGTTTTCAACTTGGGTCATTTCAGGTAATAAAATTAGGAGCAACAGTTCATCGTTTAATATAGTTTTTGTCCTGTGCAGCGCTGACCACATTCATTCTGCATGCTGGGTAACATTTGATTAAACTTAATTCTTAGATAGAATATCTGTTGAGATGTGATCATTACAATACTGCTCATTATTTCCATCTCACTCCAACTCAGTTAGTCTCAATATGATTTATGTAACATTAATGTAATAATATTACATTAATGATACTGTATGCAGTACATTTCCCTGTGCAAGAACCTGAGCTGTGAATATATAGAAAGGTAAGGTGATAGATCATTTATAACACAGGGATGTGTTAAAAAGAAAGCTTCTCCAACCACATCATCATCATGCTCTCTCCACTTTAACAATGACACCAGCTAATTGTGATGCTACTGGACAGAGTGTGTCTTTACATAAACAGTGTAGCACTTAAATGTACGCAAAACACCTCCAGCATCATAGGCCCAGAGCTAAAAATAGCCCTGACACCTATCTGATATCCATGGATGCTTCATTGCACACAGTTCACCTACAGCACACAAAGGAGAAGCAATCAGACTTTAAAAAAAAAAAAAAAAAGCGTTTGAACAAATTTAATGGTTTAACAGCCAACGGGAGAAGAACCTACTCAGATTTGTTCATTAAAAATTAAGGATCTGGTCATGTATGACATCAATGAAACCACTTTAAAAACAGGTAGTTCTTCTTCATGTGTCAATGTGAAATTCAGTTTGTAAAGCCACTTCCTGACTTCAGGGCTAATTTGTTGTGCTGAAATACTGCTTCGTAATTCTGATTTGAGGTGCTGCTGTGCGGCGTAGGAAGTTAATAATTCAGGTATTACAATCAGGAGCATAATCATTTCATAGCCTGATGGTTTCTATGTCCCTGGCAAAGAAAATCTGCCTCAAACCAGTGCTTTTCTCTGATCTGAACTTATGAAAACTGTGCTGCAGTTAAACAAGTTACTGGAACCTGAAATCACTGTCAGACCCCAGTGCTTGTGTTATGCTCATATTTCAGCATCTGCGGTTTAGTGACGTTTGAACAAATTAATGCCGACACAGCCAAAAAACACTGAATGGGGTGTGATGAGAGAATCTGTTAGACAGAAAATGAAGAGAGCTTGCGAGGCTTTGTAATTCAGCTCGATGTCACAGAAAACATAAGTTTTGGTAAGAATGTTGGGTCATGTACCCTCATGTCAGCTCTCATTGACTCCAGCTACAACCCTATGAGAAAAATACTGGAAAAATTATGCCTGAAGCATCATGATGGATTGTAATATTAATAAGCTGAGATATATTGAATACAAAAACATGGAAAATGAAATGAAATAGCTCAAAGTACATTTTAATATTTCAAATTTCATGGTACAAAGCTACTGTATGTCATAATGTGAAACTACACTACTACTAAAGCTTGTACTGGTGCCAGAGCAGGCTCAGGCTCAGGCTGTGACTGTGTTTTTGTTGGTGGCCTCAGAAAAGATTTGGCTCGCACTTACCATCCTCTGCAAACTGCAACTTGACCTGACATTTGGTTAAGTGCTCAGGCTAACACTAACCAACTGAAGCTACAAACAGTCTGCATGAAGTTGATCTTTACATTATAATACACGATGTGGGAAGCTTTCTTATGACTACTTCCTTAGAAAACAGAGAACTTGCATCACAAGCATGTCTACACAAAATTGTGTTGATTTTAAGGATGACACACTTAATGCATTCATTCTCAACCCACTTAGTGTGACTGTCCCAGGAATTGCACTGAACAGGTGCCTAACTGAAACATACACTATGATCAAGTCATAAACTATTACGCAGTTAATCAACCTTCAAAGTCCTGGCGTAACATTTAATGGTCTTTATCTCGACTGCCTCCTGTCACATGACACTCATGTGGCATCTTGATCCCCAGAGTGACTGTTTACAGTGCTCTTGAAGGAAAGCCGTCACAGACAATACCACGGACGCGTCACAAAATGTCATTCCATTGCGATACTGATTTTGTGCTCATTATGCAGATATAAACCCCACGAGTACCCATCAAGGAGAAGGCGAGTCAGGACCATGTGATCAGACTGCAGCCTCAGCACTTCCCCCTCACTCCCTAACTAACTGAAGCTTTCTCCAGAGACACCCAGTCAAAGCCCTTTCCCCGGTCAACAGCCACTTCCCATAAAAACTGGGAGGACAGATGACTTTTGCTTTACTCAAATTTGGGCTATCAGGAAATCATGACACATATTCAGACAGGGTGGCTCAAAGATGTTCCGGCCCACTACACAAATCATGTGACTCCTCTCAAGCACTGAAAACAACATTATGAGATCATCACTACCGTTTACACGCAAGGCAAAGTCAATAATGACAATATATAAAAACCGAGTCAATGTTGATTTATGGCATTTACACCATTAAAATCATTACAATAAAAACGAGTGTGGTTTCGAATGAAGGCTGCCAACAGAACTGGCACAAGACACAGAAATGATGCAGCATTTTGTGATGGAGTAAGATTGAACTTTGAAAATGTACAACACGACAATCGTGGTCTACTTCGTTTCCAAATGTATTTTTAGACATTTTACATGTGTGTTATTCGGGGGAAATACATCCATAGAGAAGGCTAACAGACTGCTGGCGAAGAATTAGCATGTAGCTAATGCGTTGCGCTACATTAGAGACGATTACGGTATTAGCCACACTTACAGTCAGGAAAGCAGAGTAAATAAAGGGCTCAGCATGGGCGAATGAAAACAAACCATAATATTATGGTCAAACTAAATTTATATCTATAATATGACACTGTTACATCACGTCTGGTACCAGACGATACTAGCTAGCGTAGCTTAACCGGCGAAATTACAGTGTCGGGTTGGTCGATCATCTGCTGCTAGTTGGAAAACAAGAGGCTAGAAATGCAGATAAGAAGAAATAAAAGCTATCAGCTGCTGGGTTAAGTACCCAGACGATCGCGACTACTTCTTCTCACGGCCCATTATTAGCTGTTTTGACAGGTGAGTTTGCGTTAGCTGGCTACCTGCTCTCTGTCATCAATGGATGGAGCTTGACAACAATTCACATAAGTTACTACAGTTCCCCGCATCGACACAGAGACAGTCGAGGCCTGCGATGTGTATAACCACGTCGGACAAACAGTGTTGTCCTGAGCACAGTCTCAACCAAGCCAAAACACACAGCTAGCGTTAGCTTTAGCGTGCTAGTTGGCCAGCTAGCTGCGAGGGTTGGATTATGGTAGAAACGCCACTTCGCTAGCTTGTCAACATTTGTTCACACGTCACAGAGCAAGTCCCCTTTCGCCCACATTAGCAACATCCAACAGTTTGATCATCAGCATCTTCTATTAACGACAAACACTGACCAAGTATTAGCCATCTGTTAGCTAGCCTCGTTAGCTCTCCAAATAGCTCACTCCTGACAAACAGGCTGGCGAAACTGCTCCAGCTGTTCACACATTTTTAATATCGGCGTCTCCACGTCTGTTAGACACCACGCACGTGTACGCGTGTACATACATGTGCGTGTAAAATGATGGGCAGTTTCTGCGCTTACCAGAGAATGGAGTCTTTTGGAGCTGGGAGTAGTTGAGCTGCTCAGAGGAGGTCTGCAGGTTATCCTGGCTCAAGTCTGATCTGTCTATCCAAGATGGCTGCTCGCGGCACAGGGTTTCCTCCGCTGTGCACAATGGGCTTCTGGGACAAAGAGCATCGTGTGCGGTGTTTGCGGTTCGAGCAACGTTTCTGCGGAGGGTGACCTCACCTGCACAGGTGAGTTCATGCATGTCACGCAAAGCTGCGGCTCTCAACACAGGGTCAGTGCGAGATCACGCTATGAAAGCGTCGTTCAGGTGAAATCACGAGAAACAAGACTGAGGGTTCAGAGGCACCTGCTTCTACCTGGGTTTACCTGAGGCCAGCAGATATATGTCAGTCTTTGTATTGAGCCTAAAATCATTGTGTATTTACATCCTTGTTGCTTATTACTTTTCATAGAGTAGAGAATATGCAAAGTAAACAAACAATTACATCACATATAATGAGTAATGTACTTAAAACAAAACATTTGCATCTAACTGTAAAATCCATACATGCAAACCATTAAAATAACCATTAATAATAATACAAAGTTAAATGCTATGAATGGTGCATTTAAAAAAAGAAAGGAAAAAAGAAAACCTGTTTTGCTCACTATTGTCTTCAACAATAATGTATATTGCTTTTTATTATTTTCTTATGACTTTTTTGTAAGTGCATTGGTCTTTGCTTGGTGTGTAGCCTATATGACATCATATCATATTTAAAACAAGGGTCACATCTGGTATGTTTTCTGCATGACAGATTTGTTCCTTAACACATATACTGCACTAAACTAGTAAAACCCCACTATTAAATATCCATATGAGCCCTGCCATAATAAACCAAGTCTATAAGTATATCTTATTTAAATTATTCCATCTCAGAGTAGCATCTTTTCATATGTTTAATGAAAAAGCACTCTTCCAGTCAGTTGACCCGTACAGTTTAACACAGTCAGATCAGTTCACATGAAATCATGTGAACCACAAGTAATTCTATGTGTTGTCTGTGTGCAAGTGACATACGTGGCATGTCATGGAACAAAAGAAATCGCAAATATTTTCCTTTGAAAAATATGAAATGTTTTAATACAGCAATTCACAACATTACATGCTTCAACTGTACAATATTTCTCACTATCTTACATAGAACCACATGCAGTGTGCTCTCCCAAGCTCAGCCTGGAGAACCAGACAGTGCACTAAAATAAAAAATATCTCTCATAGCACAAAGTGTCATGACTCAGAGTCACAACAGTAAAGTACATCTGTGACCTTAAACGAACACACCGCACACAAAGATGAAAAATGAAGTCTTGAACAGAGAAGATGGATTTATGTTTGGAGCCTGTGTAAAAAATGAAGTCATTGTGTTTCTGCTCATTTGGATGTACTTACTTAAAACTTTTCATCAACTGACAAATGACTAATGAAGATCTTCCATCCATGGCAACAACACGACCCATAATACCCATATATTTCAATATGAACACACTGGTGGCTGTTTCATCATTCTTTTGATCAAACATATTCACAGGATTATTTTTGCCTTTTCTTTGACTGTAAATCCAAGTTAACAATAGTGACAAAAGCTACTATGTCAAGGTGCTCGCCTGTATCACCATTAAAACGCTCATTCAGCCCTACACGTGAGCAGCTCAGAGAATACATGGACAAGCTCCTCATACAAAATGTTTCTCCCATAGTCCGTCGGTTTTGTGTTCCTCTCTGAAAATGACTCCATATCACAACCACATCCTCAGCAGCAAGAGGCTGAACAGCCCGCAGACATAATGGAGTGTGCTCGGTCTCCAGGAGGAGGTGCTGTTACATAGGTCTGAGTCACAGCAGTGGATACGCACCCCTGGCAGCTCGTGTTGCTGGCAGTGTCTGGATGTGGCACAACCGCTGGTCAGGACAATACCCAGGGCCGCTGGAAGGACAGGAGAGGGAGACAATCAGTCAGGGAAGAGTGACAAGCTGGTGTTTGGCTCAGCAAGAAAAAAAAAAGCACAAGTAAGCATCAAATACTGCAAGAGTGTAATGAGGAAGCCGCTCACAGACACACTTCACAGGATGTTTCCCCACAAGCAGAGAAACCAAGGCTTTGACACATACATTTTGTATCCTTTAATGCAGAAAAGAAAAGAGTTGGAGAGTCACTGTCATGAAATTCAGAATATCTCGTTACGTCTATATTTAAATCTGAAGTATCTTTATTTGATTGAGGAAAAAAAAATACTGAAAAATATACAAAGTGAGTCATGTCAAACCCATAATCCACATTTATGCATCAGAGCTGCAAATCGACCAGATTATCTCACTTGTGATCGTCATATTGTCTTGAAGTAAAGCATTTCAATGATAACTGACCTTCAGGAATTACTGTAATACAGTTTGTGTTATATCTTGACTGTTCCTAGTTCATATAGCGGAGAAGTCAAGTTAAAAAGCATGATTTTAATCTGGAAACAACAGTTGATAGTATTTACACACAACTCTTGTCAAGGGTTAAGGGCAGATGCTATCACACTTTAAGCCCTATGAGGCATATTATGGTTTGTGAATATGGGCGACACAAATGCAATTTGATTGATACTGGTGTAGTACAAATAAATGGAAATCTATGACCTACCTAAGCTTATCCTATATTTGCAGATCATCTTCCTCTGACAGTGCCAGAAACACAGCTCAGAAGTGGTTGTTTCAAATTCCATTGGAAACAATCACAGAGCTCATACCTCCATCAAGGCTAACACCCTATTTTGCAATGTCAAAGGATCTGCTCCAAAATTCTGCTCGGTCCTTCTGGGGTTTTGCCCCCAACCCTTCTCAAAATCTTATGGAAATCAGTTGAGTGGTTTTCCTATTATCCTACTAGCTAAGGAATGCAGATGAAAACAACCTCCTTAGCGGAGGTAAAAAGGAAACAGTATTCAGGTATTCTGAGGTCAGCAGTTTGACAAGATCTGCCTGGCGTCTTCGTTAACATTGTGATGATAATCCTTAGTCTCTTAACATCACATCTCATGAAGAAATTATGCAGTGTTTTTCTGTCAGGAGTCCTCACTTCACTTGTAGGTTGGGGCCAATTCAGGCTGGTTATGGATTAAGGGCAGATTCTTGTATCTAAGCACATGGAAATTTGAACCTCACTGTTCTGTTTGATTGGGGTTTGGCGTGGTCACGTGAAGATTAACAGGCTTACATGGCCACAGATTACCACTGCTTCAAGATTTTGACAGAGTGCCTGTCATGCTGTCAGACGGGCTGTTGTCAGTCCTTCGTCTGAGCTCGCTGAGCTTTTCTGCGAATGGAAGAAGGTGCCTCATCAGCCCTTTCAACATGAAAGAGACATCAAGCAAACAGCTGGATCAACCACGCTTCCATGAATATCAGCAGAACCACTCATCTGACCATCACCATCCTGTCATGGATGTCCACATCCTCCGTTTGACTTAACATCTCACAATGACTGACTTATAATTTACTCAGAAAAGCACACCAAAGTAGGATTATGTAACTATGCTCAGTGCAAGGGGAGAGAGAAGAATATTCACAGCAGCAGACAAAATAACATTTACATGAAAGTATGATTAAAAACTATTATGCCAATGTCCAGTGGCACATCAGACGAATTCAACATATACACATGATACACAGTTGCATTAACTCAAAGATTTAAATGCTGAAGAGGAGAGGAGAGATTGTGAATATGATTTCATCTTATTAATCATTTAATATTACGTTTACTCACTGCTCTCTGTCTTAATGCAGAAGCGGTGCTTGAAGCCCTTGTGTGAGTGGGTGCAGGTGATGACCTCTGGGTTGGAGCAGCCCACGTCCACGTACCTCTGGCCCTGGATGATGTTGCAGCCATAGCACTGCAGCCCCTGGACTGCAGGGGACACACAGACCAGTATACGTGACAACAGGGTCAATTTATTATGGCGTGTCGGCTTGTTGTGTGAAGCATAGCAGTTGGAATTATGTATGCAAATAACCCCAGTAGAATTGCTATCATACGAACACCTGCCTCTGCATGACATGCAGGAGATGTAGACAGAACCAGTGCTGACCACTGACAGCTGATTCTTATTTATTTATCTATATTTAGCTAAACACCCTTATACTGAATACTGCTACTAATTTGTTGTCTTTAATTCTCAACACCATTTTCCAAATTCATCCAAATCAAAGTTTTTTTCTACCTTTACATCTGAATATTTGAACATAGCCTCCAGGTGTGTCAGTGTGTGGTCACATTATGGGGACTTGGCTTCCTTATGGGGACACGAAGCAAGTCCCTGTAATGTAAATCATTATATTTTAAGGTAGAGACATCATGTTTTCAGGTTAAGTTACAGTAAGTCTCCAGGAAATCAATGTAAGTCTATGTAATGTCATCTGAAGTCATGGACATGTTTGTGTGAGTCAGCCATGAAATCAATATTGAAATGTTAATTGAACGTATAGAACCTAAAATGCACCACTGTAGTTGGTAATGTTGATATTGAAATGAGAGGATAAAGGTTTCCGAGTTGCTAATTGCAATTTCCCAAACAGCCACTTGACTGTTATGTGTTGGTGACTCAAAATCTACCTCATAGGCAGCGGATCGAACTGGATTCAAATTTGAATCACTTTTTAAGATACGTCTTTAATAGGAGTGTCAGAGTCTTTCTTATTGTAGGTATGGAGCACTCAAATGGTGCATCTGAAAGACATTAGGAGCCCCTCCTTAAAATGTTATGGTTCCAAAAAGGAACATTGTTTTAGCGTTTGATATTTGCTCTCTTCTCTTCTCCTTCTCCTTACAAGCTTGTGCTTAAGGGTGATTCACTACTACACCCAATCTCAGGCAGTCTGCCTGCCAGCTCCAGCGTCTCAGAGCTGCGTCTCTACCACTCAGCACCCTATTAGTGGTATAGAGGCTGAAGCACAGAGGAGGAGTTGAGAGAGGGACTAAATCAACATGCAGCCACATTATGCTGTTTGCTTTTCCTCCTCAGCTGATTTCTGAAAATGATGCACTCGGTTAATATGATAATTAGACGAAATATAGGTTTGGTCCCCGCTGC